AGTTAGATTAAAATCCACCCTCCTGGTTGCCAAGGATCCTGGCTTACTTTTAAGACATTTTCACTAGGACCAGGGATATAGCTCAGTGGCATAAGCGCCTGCCTGGGAAGCACAAGGTCCTGAGTTTGATTCCTGGTTCCAAAAAAGAGTAAGAGTAAGGTTCTGCAGACCTTGGTAAAGGCCTTTTATGCAAAAAAGAATATTCAGGAGTTGAAATCTACATAGACAAGTTTTGTTTGGGGCTAAAATGACTCGCTTGGAGATGACTGCTTTTCTTTTATAGGAAGGGAGCTGGAGACGGCCCACAGAGGGTGCTGGTTCACATGGGCCAAGCCATTTAGCTCTCCAAATGTGGGGTTGAAAACAGGTCTAGTTTTATTTCCAAGTCATTTTAAGACATGGAACTGACACGGGAGAGGTGAGGCAGTCGCGGAAAGCGGGACAGGGATGGGGCGGGCGGAGCAGCTCGTGAGTATCTCACAGTGATAAGCAGGACAGATCACTCGCTCTCTTAGCGGGCACGGCTGAGTTGCAGGGGTCGGGGTTTAAGCAGTAAGGTAGATGTTCTGATGAGGTTGTGACAATAGGAACCTGGTTTTTTTTAGAGTCAGACTCTTTGGTGGACAGAGTCTTATATTTGGATATGAAAACAATTACAAAGTGCTTCAAAAATGACGAAACCTGTATGAATATGGATGTTAGCCCTGGCGTCTTGGGCAGGCCACTTATTCCATCCAGCTTTGGTTTCATTAAGTGTCAGACAGGAACAATGTCTAACCTGCCTACCAGGCTCCCGGGATCTTTCGGAATCCTGAGGGTAGAAAACCAGAGCTTGCGGTTCACAAAGGCGGGGGTGTCCGAGCTTAGGTCCACTCTGCAGTAAGGAAGGAAGCCCCAAGTGTTCACCTCTTCCCTTTGCTTCCTTCTGCAGTTAATCAGGTTGTGCTCTCCTGGAGAAGACAGGATTAACTACTACAACTTCGTGCGTGCTTTCTCAAACTGACCTGGCTGGTGACAGAACATGATACAGATTTTTGATGTTGGACCTAAACTTGGAAATATATCTTGTGTTCTTCATAGAGAGATCTGCAGAGCTCCTGAAATTGCATTTCCTTTTTGGTTCTTGTTTCATAACTGCTGAAGTCTAAATTAAATTGATTCTCAGATTAAATAAGATCTAATATTGGTGCCTCTTTAGGGGTGGATAGAGGTATCGTAATGGTTCATTTGGCAACTTGACTGGGTCACGGGGTGCCCAGGTATTTCATCCAACATTATTCTCGGTGCATGTGCGGGTGTTTGGGGATGAGACTAGCATTTGCACTGGTGACTAAGCAAAGCAGGACCGCCTGACCTGCAGTGGACAGGCCTCGTTCAGTCCTGTGAAGACGGGACTGGAACAGAAGGCCTACTTCCCTTGGGAACAGAGTTCCCGTCCCCTTGCTTTCCAACCGTGACATGGCCTTTTCCTGACTTCAAACCTGCTCTCCTGGGTCTCGGGCTTTTGGACTCAGACTGGAGCTGCACCCTTTGCTTCCTTGGACCTCCAGGTGGCTGAGTCACCCTGCAGACCTTGGAGCTGTCAGCTTTTATGATCATAGGAGCCATTTCTTAGAATCAGTCCGTCTCTGTGTCATACACACACATCCGTCCCCTGCCTCCTAAATTCTCGTAGCTGTGTTTCCCTGGAAAACCACGGTGAAGACACAGAACAAGTAAGAGCAAGAGGAACGATGGGGTTTTGTAGAAACACTTGTGGCGCCGGGCGTTGGAGCACGGGATCGCTGCGCTACCGGGCACGGCCCGCCGCTCCCACCTGCTTGGCCCGTGTTACAGGAAAGCATCCCACGGCGCTCAAGCTGCGGCCCGGCCCGTCGGCACCAGGCCTGTGGTGTGGTGTCTGCTGCAATGAGTCTGCTATTTCCGCTGAGTTCCTGTTTACTAATTATGATGTAAAATGGATTTCTTTATGTCAGTTTTAGTAAAAAAAAAAAAAAAAGAAAAAAAAAAAGAAAAACCACTTTTTGAGAGTGGCTTTGAGCTCTCTAAGGAGCTCTGGCTTTTAGAGCCAGCACTGCTGCTTAGGCAGCACCTTCGTCTTTAAAGTGCTATCTCCTCAGGACGAGGAGGCAAGGGTGTCGGCCTGAGTTCAAGGCCGGCCTGCACCGCATCACGAGGGCCTGCAAACCACGACACCAACAACCGAACACTTTGCCAGTTCCTCCTGGCGCCCACAGTGTGGAATGAGGAAGCAGTTAGGTCCCTTACGACTGCCAGAGCTTCCCCTGAGAGGTCTGCGGGAACGAGGCCTAAAAACGCAGGCAGAAGGTGCCCTGGGGGACGCCGTCCCTTCCACACCGAGCTAAGCCGCCTCTAACCACCCGAGGTGAAGGGCTGCAGGTGTATGGACTCCTTTTTCTGTCCCCGGATGGTACCGTACCTCAGGAAGAACCGGATTTCACTTTGTTTTCTGCAATCATAACAAGTCTTGAAAGTTTTGGGTAGGTAAAAAGTTCATTTCAGTCCAGAAAATACTGAGTGCTGCGCTGCGCAGACAGCTTGCCTGCCAGGCCTGAGGCCCTAGCTTTGATCCCCAGCACCACTGAACAAACTAAATTCAAAGCTGGGCCTGCCTGCCCCGGGCTGGAAGCCTCTAGTAAAGAGTGCGTTGTGTGCGTTGGACAGAGAGACAGACTTCTCCTCCCTCCGGCTTCCGCTTCCTCCGTCCATACTCAGCCATGCTGCCGTTTGTGGTCTGGGAAGGGTGGAAGTGCAGAGAGAAAGAGAAAGGGCCACCTCTTATTTTGCGGCTAGTAACGTCCGTTTGGGGCCAGGGCTCTGCTGGACACGAGCCCACAGGATGGCTCCTCTGTCCCGCAGGGCGCCTTCTGGGTGCATTTTTGGGCCTCTTTTCCGCAGACCTCCCAGGCCTCCATTCTCAGGTCAGTGACCTGCTGACCGCCCTGGCTCTAGCCGGCTCTCCTCCTCAGTGCCGGGGCCCTTGCTGGTGGTGGACCCTGCGGGGAGCCCCCCGCCACGCTCTCATTCAGAAGGCTCCCCCAGCGGGGCAGCTCAGCCCCGGCCCTTCAGATGTGCTGCGGGTGAGAGCAGGTCGCCTAAATCTTACGCCCTCCAACCCCAGGGGACGCACGTCTAGCCGTCTGTTAAACCGCCCTCTCCATCACAGAAGCCGACAGCCCGTCTGCACACAGCACTCCCAACCCTCCCTCGCCCCACCTCTTGTGGAAACGTCCACCGGAGCTGCGGGTGAACGCAGAGCGTCTTTTCGTGGATCCGCCCAGTTGGGAGCATATGGAAGTACTTCCCGTTTTCACCCTCAGCCTTGGGCCTTGGCTGAAGGGGAGATTTGGGAGTTTCATTTCACACTCCTACCCACCCTGTGAAACCCAAGCACTCACAGCCCCTTCACCTCAGTTCTGACGGCTCATCTCTTACTTTGTCCATGTACAACTGTGAACACAGCGGGGTCTCCTCGTAAAGCTGAGCCCCACTGCAGAAGCCTGCGGTTAGAAGTCCGCGAGCTTGCTTTCCTACTCCTCGATTTGCGTCTCCTCCCGAGTCTACCCGGATGGAGAAGCTAAGCTCTCGCAGCACCGCTGTGAGGTGTGAGAGCCGCTCTGGGGAGGGCCGGAGCCGGCAGGTCACATATGCGGCCTCCCCACGCTCACTGCTCACCTCTGGGAGATTACACAAGGCAGCAAGTACAGCAGCCACCAGGGTCAGAGCAAGTCGCGTTCCTGCGGGGTCCTGAAGGGCTTTCGCCCAGCAGACGCCACTGGTCGCCCAGTGTGCAGTCACAGCTGGCGCACACCTGGGCTCAAGCAATGGGGTAGGGCTGAGCATCGGCCTGCACCAAACAACCCTCTGAGAAGCAGCAATGCCCGTCACGTGAAAAGGGCCACCTGGGACTTGAATCAGCGCACATTGGCATTACCAGTCAGTGTTTTCGGGGGAGGAACCCTGGGAGCTCTGGCTTGCAAAGTTAACTGCAGGATGTCTCTAACACTGACCAGGGTGTCTCGGCTTCAAGGGCTTCAGGGAAAAAAAGAGGGGAAAAAAATCTACCTGGGGAAGCTGAGTGGGTGGAGACGGGCTCTGAGCTAGCTGCCCTGAGTCCTGAGGCTCTCTCTGAACGCGACGAGGGGCCCTGAAAATACCACCTGGTAACTGCGGCCTACCAAGTCCGATCTATGGGCTGAGGCCAACAGGCCCCGAAGACCTCTCTGAATGCTGGCTGAGTAACTACTGCGCGTCCCGGTGACACGTAAGCATGAAGACATTCATTGAAAACATCACCGTATGGACTGTTTAGCTTGTACCATGACTTAGTATTCTCTGTCACCATTCCCCATTCCCAGGAAACAAAAGCGAACCCGGAAGACACAGGTGAAGACAGGCTCAGAGAGGCTAAGCGAGGTGGCCGCCCCGCTCCCACGCAGAGCCGAGTCTGGCTGCTACAGGACCACTCACCTCACCCGCGGGAACGCCCTGGCCGTGCTCACAGCCTGTGAGCGGCCCCATTTCCTGAACTCTCTGGGATCGTCCTGGAAAACACAGCGGAACGGCCGTGGCTGTTTAGGGGACAGCAGCGGTGCCCAGCGGCCCCCAGCACTGCGAACGCCGGGGCGCCTTCTGGTGGGCAGCAGCAGCCGTCAGGGGCTTCTCCGTACACACCGAACCCCGTGCACAAGGCAACGACCGCACAGGACAGCAGGCGTCAAGGGCCGAGGTCTCCGGTCCGTCCCGCCCTTAAGAGCACCCCCTTTCCCCCTCGCTGTCAGGGAGCTTCGTGCTGCCCGTTACTGTCTAGCACTCAGCATCACGGAGCCCTCACCGTCAGTCCAGCTCCCCGGTCCCCCCCCCACGAACAGCTGCACCTCCAGATACAGCAAGGAAAGCGTCGGCAAGCTCATTTTCAAGCCACAGCCAAAGCGCTGTACAAAAGCATGGGAAAGAATCAGACCAGAGACGAAGACGACTGATAATTCTATGCCTTTTATTCAGTTATTTCAGAAAATATTTGATTTTTTTTCAAAATGTACATTTAAAAAATCCATACAAAACTGTGATTTGCTTTAAAACCAGACAGAAACAGTGGAAAAAGGGTTTTGAAAAAGTTCACCGGAAGTAAAAAGACACCCCTCCCCCCAACCCCGTTACACGAAAGCATAAATACGGCAGGTACACATGTTCCTTGAGTTCCTTGTTGCAATTTGGTCCGTAACAGGAAGAGGCTAACGTAGAAAAACAGACAATGTGTCCACATTTGCATTATGCGTTGCTCTGGGTACCAGCAGCCTCAGCTTATCCTTCAGGTGTTTACTAAACAGAGAACTAGAAAGTGAGGTCTACAGACTCATCACGCGAACACTGGCGCCCACCCGGCAGATGGGGGACCCCCACAGCCAGGCCCCAGCGAGTGGACGGGCCCCCACACGAAACCTGGGTCTTCTCCACAGGAACGAGAGACTGTGGAATGCTCCCAAGCAGAGTGGCAGTGGTGCCCCCAGCATCAAAACAGATCTCAGTCCCAGACACTGACTTGGGTCCCATCCTGAGGATGGATTTTCCTTCCAAAAGACTTTTTTTTTAATGTAAGGACTTCTAAGAGTGTCATAAAACTCTCCCAGGATCATGAAAATGACAGTGACGAAGGGAGGGTGACCGACACATCTGTAAGGAATAACAGCCCCTCCCGCGGGTTCCCCTCCCCTCCCGCACGGTGTTGTAAGGGACAGAAAGGCTTGCGGACCACCGGCAGGGGCAGTTATTGCACAACCCGGGGGACAGGAGCAGGCAGGCGAGGGGCAGGGGAGGGCGCCGCCACGCAAGTCCACCTAACTCAGAGGTCAGGCTGCGGCTGGGGTCCAGGCCCACTGTCCAACGGGCTGCCTGCAGGCGGGCCTGGACCAGGGAGTACCGGCCGCACCTTCCGGCAGGGCCTCCGGGCTGCACGGAAAGCGGCCCAGGTGGGAGGAGGACGCAGCTGGGAGGGAGGGACCCTGCGCGGCCAGAGACACAGGGCTGGGGGCGCTGAAGCCTCCGAACTTCACTAGTCGGTACAAGGCGCAGGGCCCTGCCTTGTGCTACACCGCAGGCTGCTCAGCCACCCGGCCAGGTCAGGGGAGGCTGACCACGGGAGAAACCAGAAACAACGCGGGGAACATACCAGACCCCACCGCCCCGGGCAGCGGGCAGCTGAGGGGCACCGCCAGGCCGCGTCCTTTCCCTGCACTAACGGCCGAGGTACAGTGTCTGCGTGCATGCGCCCAAGAGCCCGAAAGCCCCGGAGCTGGCAGCTGGCCACACAATTCGGATAAAGGCACGCGGCGATGTAAGGCACTTGTGATACGAAGCGAACGGGGACTTCTGAGGGCGAGGACAGAGCCCCGAGCACGAAATGCTGACAGCCGTGGAATCCCTGCGCGGGGAAAGCTGTGGCGCGGAGGGTAAACTCGAAGGCCTGCCCCAGCCGCAGGGGCCACCAAGCCTTTTCATAAGAGCATCTGTGGAACAGGTCCCGCAGTGCCTTCCTACTTCTTATTTACCCCTCAGAGAAAAGGTCAAGGGGAGCTGAGGGAGGTTCCAAAAGGAAACCTCAGACCACAACCGGGAGGACCGGGATCCAGCGCTCAAGAGTCCCAAGACTGCAGTGAAGACAAGCACGGATGAAGGCGGCCGGAGCACAGGTCTCTAATGTGCTTCCCTAGGAGTTGCTAGGTTCTGCCTGGGGACAGGAGTAGGCCAGCTCTCAGCAACCACTTACGTCTGGCGGCCCGAGAACACTCAGGGCCGGGACCCACGGCACAGGGAGAGACGGCTCCCCTCCCCGACGGCCGTCCTTCCTTGGAGAGGAACACACGGATTATTAACAGTGCAGTACCGCAGCCTGGATGGTAAAAATAACTCTCCTGCCACTGAACCTCCCAGGAGGGGCCTCAGCCCAGGCAACGCTCCTCCCACCAAAGGCCGAGCTCTCCCACCACTGCCACCTGCTGGCGCCCCACACAGGTGTGCCAGGGAGGCGCCGCGGGGCAGGCGTGCGGCTGCTGAGGTAGATTAGCATCTTCTGCCCTGGGTGGCCTCAGGGGGAGGGGTGTGACGGCCCTCCCGATTGGTTTGGCACTTTTGTGGAGATGAGGGCCCACAGAGAAATGAAGCAAGCAGCCAGCGTGCCCCAGTTGGTACAAGCGAGGCCAAGACGCTCACAGGATGAAGCGGAACGGCGTTACTTAAAGCCTGGCTTGTGCCAACGTGACAGACTTGGCTTTGTGGACACAAATGTCCCAGGCAGACAGGCACGGGTAAGAAAGGATCCTGTAATCACACTCTAAGCCCCCAAACATCCCTGAAGCCCAAGCTGGTGAGCTACCACCCTTATTCATGACCTCAGAGTTTCCTTTTAGCATAGGAGAGATTTTACCACCTCCTGTCACTGAGCAAGTATCTGTCCCTCAGGGTACAGGCCCTAAGGCGCCCTGGCCCGGGTCTGCGCTGTCACACCCAGCGCACAGCGGACGGGCAGCACCAGATGCTTGTACGAGACTTAGGGAGCAGGAAGGCCTCACCTCTGGTACCCAGGGACAGAGCGATGGAGATGTCCGCGCACAGTGCGGCTGCCAGGCCCGAGACGCCAGCTGCTCTGACTGCCGCGCCCGGGGCCCCTCCACACAGCACACAGAGACAGCGGCTCCCCTAGGCCTTGCGGGGGCGGCGAGGCTCCCGGGGAGGAGGGTGGGCTCAGAGGCTGCCGGCTGCGCTGCACCTCCACAAGCAGCTCTGGGCAGGGCCGGGAGCATGTGGCTAAGAGGCCCGGCTCAGCTCTGCGGAGTTCACACCAAGCTGCCCTTGACCGCCCACAAGGCGAGGGAAGCAGGAGATGCCCACTTTCAAAGACACTGTCCTGCTGCCCAAGGGTAACCAGAAGCCAAGGCAACTGTTCCCCATTCCACCTGTTTATCTCGGGCAGACGTGACCGTCTACAAGGGCGCCTGGAAACACATCCCTCAGGTACTGCTAAGTTTGACTCTGTAACACACGTGACCTCGAGTGGGGCTTTCTTGAGGAAAAGATCCATCTGCCCCTTTTTCGGTACAAACCCAAGGTCTGGTCTCTGCGATGGTATCAGCAAGCGCAGCTGCATGCCAAGTGACCTTAACGTTCCTGTGCCACCCTGTGCACCCCTCCCCTCAGCACAGAGTTCCAGGGCCCTTCATCGGGACCTCTAAAAGCCCACCTCCCCTTCTGGAAGTCCTCACACAGCACCACAAGGACCGGCAGCCCCGGCTCCGGCTGGGGGGAGGAAGAGACACCGGTGGGCGGGACCAAAAGCTCCCGTTGACAGGACTACGTCTGCTCCTCCGACCGGAAAGCAACTCTGCGTCGGTCCTAGGTCCATGCTGTGGGCGTGCTTGACACACAAGAGCAAATGACAACGGCTCCGAAGAGCACTCAGCACGTGAGGCCACGGGGAAGGTGGCCAGGGGACCGGCTCTGGGACCCTGGGGACTGGAGCGGCCTACAGCCCCTGCGGCTCGGCGTCTCTGCTGCGGGACAGGTGGAGTGCAGGCAGAAGGTTGGCCCTGACAGGGCTGCTTGGCTCTAGACTTCAGACCGGCACATCCGGGCAGGCTCTGCTGACAGCGGTTTGGTTTGGTTGTGAATGCTGGTGAACGGTCGAAGACCCACGGCTGCTGGCCCTGGTGGAGAAAGGCCTACATCGACTGGCTGTGCTGTCCTTCCCGTCGTGTCTGTTAGGTTTCCAGAAGTCCCTGCTGCTTAGCGTGCCTGGCTCTTGCCGTCCTCCTCCAGCGTGCACCTCCACGGCGACGGCAGGCGCTTGCAGCCCAAGGCCGTTCTGTGAGACCTAGGGAACGAGCACTGTCCTTCCCGACGGGGCTGCCAGGAGCCAGGGCCAGAGGCCTCAGCATCACCCCCAGCCGGCAGCAGCTGCCGCATCTCCAGCGGGCTTGCGCGGGACTGGAACCATACACCTCCGCAACATCAGCACCAAGGAGGTTGTGATCCAGGAGGCGGCTCTCCCCTTCCTGCCTCTCCGCACAAGGACTAGCGCGGGGCCAGCCGCCGGCCCCGGGCGAAGCTCCTTGGCATGAGGCTTCCAGACCGCCAGCTCCCGCGGCTCACCGGCAGGACTGCAGTCTCAGCTCCCTCCCGTTGTAAAAATCAGACACAGAAAAATTGCACGTTAAGGAAAAATGAAGAAAAGAAAAAGCAGCAGCCATGAGTGAAGAGAAGGAAGAGGCAAGCTGAAACAGAACCGGCAGAAGGATCTGGGCTTCTGGAAAACCCAACACAGCACAGAGGAGAAGCCATGAGGATGCTTCCGGGAGCGAGAGGGAGATTTTTGGCTTTATTGAGAAAGGTACGCGGAAGAAGGAGAAGAGAAAGCCAGGAAGTGAGAGAGAGAAAACCCCTTTGAAGAGCGGCTCCTGTGGACGGAGACAGAGGCTCCGGGAGGGAGGAGGCGGCGGGTGGGGCCTGGGCTCCTGCCCCCCCCAGGCCCTGCAGAGGATTCCTGTTCCCAGCACTTTGGCCTTAAGGAGACTTGAGTTTCTTAGTCCGTGGGGAGGTTCCGTTCTCTGCTTTCACCACTCCATTTTCATGGTAACCTGGGGGGCCGGAGAAAGACAGACACGTGTAGGGTTTCTGCTGGGACCACAGAGGGGAAGGTGCACGGGGCTGCCTGGGGCCCTGGGCTGGGGCTCCCTGCAGCAGTGGAAGCCAGCATACCGCTCCCCGCACAGCCCCGCTGCCCCTAGTGTCCTGAACAAGTGCCCCTGCTGCAGCCCTTGTGTCTGTCCTTTAGCAAGGAGGCCTACAGAAGCCCAGCATCAGGCCTGCACCCGGCAGAGGCTGGCTGGAAGCGCTCAACAGCCGCCAGCGTCCTCAGCTCCTCTCAGGTCCCTCAGCGCGCCGGCAACCAGCAGAGTCAGCAGCAGTGAGGAGGCAGGAGAGGCCACGGAGGAGAGGCTTCCGCAGAGGCCGAGCCCCTGGCAGGAACGGCGTGCTTTTCATTGCTTTTGCTGCTGCCTGCTAGCTCTGCTGCAGCCCACACCAGGCCCCTGCCCGGGCTGCCTCCCCGGCACACCCAGCGCACACGTCCGCCTCAACACAGGGGCCCTTGCCAAGCAGGTGTCCGCTCGGAGACAAGCAGATGAGTCAGGAAACGTCCTGCTGCAGGCAGGCCCCGGGCTGGGCAGGAAGAAGGCTTCCAGGTGACTGCCGGAGTGTGTGCGGGGCAGAGTGGGTGTCCCGCCCCTGCCGCCCACTGAACACTGTCACCGTGAGTCACTTCTGGAGACAGAGGCGGCAGGGGAGGCCGAGGTAGGGCACAGGGGCAGGTGAGGACACGGCTGGCCGCCGTGCAGTACAGCGCATGGGCGGCGGCAGCAGAACTTGGCTGGGCTCCAGGAGCTGCCCTGAGGATACACTTCCCGCCAGAGCGCCTCGCCCAGTGCCGCCCTGCCCTCAAGAACCAGGGCTCTGGGCCTGGTTTGGGCCAGCCCCACCCACACTGTCCCTGGCCGGCGCCCAGCCACGCGCCAGTCAGGGAGCCCC